GTGTGTGTGTGTGTGTGTGTGTGTGTGTGTGTGTTACCGAGCTCCAGGTGGTGCATTGTCTTAAGTCTGTTGATCTCAGAGAGCAGATCTTCCTTCGCCTGCCTCTCCAGCGCCTGCAGCGCTGCGGCATGATTGTGTCTCTCCTCCGCCAGAGACTGGGTCTGAGGCTCCTAAAACACAAACATGCACGTTTATTTCTTATTTTTCACCACAGCCTCACCCTTTACGGCTGCGGCGCCGTGTGGGCCTGACGAACGCAGAACGGACACGCTGTGCAGAGCTTCACCATCCATTCACAGAAAAAAACACTAAGCTGCTTTCTCCTGCAACGCTTTCATCAAAGCTGCTAAATTATTCATTACACAGAAAATCTATGAAGTAGTGCACATACTGTAGGACTGTAGGACTGTGTGGGTGTACCTGCAGCAGATCCCTTAGTTTCTTATTTATCTCCTTGGTTTCTTGAACCTCCTTTCTCAATCTGTCAATTTCAGGGTTGCCGTGGCAATCGTCTCCTTGTCCCGCCTTCTTTTTATCCAGCTGCAGGGATGACAGATTAGGTTCAGATTAAGTGTTTTTGCTGTGTGTTCGAGGTGAGGAGATTACAGGAATATTTTACGCTGTGGACCGTGCAGACGCAACGAGTGAAACGAGAGAAATTATGTTTCCTGTGAAAATGGAAGGTGAATGCTGAAAGCTACAACTCAGCTGAAATGTGCCGAAGAAGCTGAAAACTGAGTTGTTGAAGCTAAAAGAAAAAGAGCACTTGCTAAAAATTTCAGAAAAGCAAAACAATATCTAAAAGTAGGAAAATGCTAACAAAAATAGCAAAACACTAATAAAAAGTAGCACATGCCCAGCTAGAGGCTACAAGTATCAGAACAGTACCAGTAGTTCACATGAAGTCACAGAGCCAGTTTGCTGGAGACCATTTGACACTAGAACAATGTTTTGAAGGAACTGAAGAGATTTTTATGGGGAAAATATTTATCATTAGTTATTCTGACAAGTAGAAAAGTTACAAAAACTAAAAATCACTGCACACTTCTCTTGAACGAGCTGAACATTTTGAGACACGAACAGCTAAAAAAAATCACAAAGTATGCAGCGCTGAGTCAGCAATATTTTCTTTACATTAAAATCTAAACTTAATCTTGATTTTTGGACTTTCAAGGTGACTTGAACAAATATTTTGTTCTAACATCCTGAGTCTGTTTTGTTTGTTGAGCTGAGCGGGCGGAGGGTTACTAATTGAGTCAGAATGGATGATCGAGCTGAACGCAGCTCGTAGCCTCACCTGTGCCTGCAGCTCCGTCAGCTGAGCCTGCAGCTCCGACGTTTGGCTCTGCAGCTCCTCTTCTCGGTCCTGCCACCTCTGCTCGCTCTCAGCGACGGCGGCGTTCATCTCGATCCTGAACTCCGCTCTGAGGCGATCCTCGCACTCGACTCTGGAGGCAAGAGTAGCGCCATGAAGGGCGGGTGAGCATGTAACGACCTGTTTGTGTGTTTGTAAGAAGACTTCTCATGAACCACTGAACAAATTTAATAAAACTCACGGAAAACTAATTAACTCTTTAGAGTCGACCAAATTCAAGATGGCTGCTACGGCTAATATACTTCAGCCAACACAAAAATGTCTATAACTCAGTGAATTTTACAGATACTGAGCTACGATTTGGTGTGGTAGTAGCTGAGAGTCATCCTCATCACATACTTCATGCACTGAATGATCAGACTACATGGTGGCAGGTGACAGGCATTCCTTCAAGAATTGCAACTGTTTCAGTGATTTATTTCTTTAATGTTTTTCTCTTTTTAACGAGGACAGTTTTGTCTGGCCTTTCAGTTAATAACTTGATTTCATAAAGCATTAAATTAGATTTTATTACCTTGTTAAAACATTGAAAACGTGTATATGTTCATATATATATGTTTTTGTCTGTTCAGACCATTTGTGAGGAGAAAGTTGACATTTTATTTTAACTGGGCACATTTTTGAAGAAAGATTACGATTTATTTTGTTGTGTAAGTAAACAATCGTTAAGAAATGAGAAATCAAGTATTACTGTATTTTTCGCCATATAATTCGCACCTTTATCATAAATTTGCACGTCCTGTGTCCTTATACACCGAAGTGACTAATATATGTTTTTCCCATATTTATAACCAATTTTTGGCTGAGATCTGATGATTTCATTCATTCTGACATGGAAAATATTGAACACTACCATTTTCAGCCGCTAGAAGGACCTCGAGCATTATGGCAATCCAAGAGTCTCATTAATAGATAAAAGTGGCTATTAATGAGACACTTGGCTTGCCATACCAAGCCATCGTCTTCTCGCTCCAGAACTCCTGGAACAAGCATCAAATCAGCTGCATTTTACCGCGCCGCCCAGGAGAAATGCAGCTGATTTGACCATTCAAGTGCATTTATTAAGGAAAAGTTCAACTGAGACACACCTTAACTACAATGTCGAGCAAACAATTAATTGGTTATAAGTGTTAATCTTGTTAAATTCTTGTTAAAGTCCTCCCACAGCCGCCATTTTGCAGCCAATCGATTTTTGGCACAACACCGGCCCATGTTTCTGGGTGGTCAGCGGTGATGCATAATAGATGCGACTTATATGGCCAAGTGACTTATTTATGCTTTTTTCCACTTTATTAGCCATTTTTGGACTGATGTGTTTTATACGGCCGTGCAACATTTACGGTGGCAAGTACGGTAAATGTATAAAAATCAGTGCTACATCTCAACTGGTGTCTATTGTCCCCCGTCTCGGAGCGAAAAGGGGAAATTGGAAATATTCTCCGACTGGCCGTGTTGTGAGTGTGATTTCTTGAAAATAAGAAATGGGCCAACTTCCATTTAGGTGTGTGGCTTCTCTAGACGTAAGAAAGGTTCCTTTTGAAAATGAGGTTGCCATTTCAAAATCCAAGATGGCCACCACCATTTATATACGTTAACCGGCCACCTGTATCATTTGCAGAAACTATACCTTCTAGTTTTTATTTAATTGCTTAAAAGTATAGTTTCCTCACATAATTGTGGTGGTTGATTAAGATATTAATCTACGGGGGCTAAGGCCACCAATGGCCACCCCCGAGCTCCACCACTGCACATGATGGCGGATAAAATGGCTCCCTCCAGGAGTTGTCTCTCTGCGCCGCCTGGGACAAAAAAAAAACTCCCTCTGTTCTCCTCAGAGCAACTCCTCCCCACTTGAATAACTTGCATCAGAAACATTTAGGTTTACTGTCTCTGTTCAATACCAGTCCAGAAAAACACTCATCTCCAAAACGACAATCATTTACTGTTCAAACCCCTCCTTGTTTGAGCTTTGATGCAGACAATGTATTTACTGCTGCACCTACCACGTCTCTTTTCTGGTTAATGTTAAATCTGTACAGAAACAGCACGGCTCCTCAGAGTGAGCGGTGAACCCCGGAGGTCTGGCAGGTGTGGTACCTGATCCGCTCCTCCGTCTGCCTCTGGTTCTGCTCCAGCAGACTCCTCTCCGTGTTCATCCGGCTCTGCTCCAGGACCTTCTCCTCCAGCCGGTGCTTGTCAGCCCTCAGGGACGAGATCTCCTTCTGTTGTCTGTCCCGCTGCCTCTCCGCCTCCTCCTGGACTCGAGCCAGTCGACTCCGGGCCTGATGGAGCTCCTCCTCCAGACGGGAGCACTGCGCCTCGCACGACGGCGCCACCTCGGAGGCCACTTTTTCCTTTTTGTCGTTCTGCTGGATCACGACCTCCAACCTACAGACCTGGGAGCACAGAATTGTCCAACCTGGTCATCACATCTTAAGGTTGGTCTGTCTGTTAGCAAAATATCTCACGAGCCACTGTTTGGATTTTAATGAACCTTTCAGAAAGTTATAACTGGATGTACGTCTACAACTGATTAACGTTTGGAGCCAATTCAAGATGGCCACTGTGGCCAATTAACCTTAGGAAACACAACGATGGCTGTAGATCAGTGGATTTTACACATACTGAGCTAAAATTTAACGAGGTAGTAGCTGAGAGTCATTCATAAAATATAATCTGAGTGAAGTCTTACAGCACGTAGGAGATTTGACCAAAACAACTCAACGTGAGATGATCTCAGGTTCATCTCTGGCATAAAAAGGCGGCGGGCGATATGCATTCCTTCAGTGAACAATAGATCTTTGATTAGGATTAGTTCATCCACACTCTGTGACCTCTGACCTCGGAGGAGGCGTCCTTAAGCTTCATCCTCAGCTTCTCTCTTTCCTTCTCCAGCCCACTGCGCAGCTCCTCAGCAGCTCTCCGCTCCTCTTCCAAACGTGCACACACCTTCAAAAACAAAGAATCCATTTTGAAACACCTCTTTGCTCTGAGCGGCCGTCAGCAGCCTCGGCTTACGATGAAGTTCGTTAAAGATAGTAAAAAGTGATTTTTGCACCAGGAGCTAAAAATACATCCATCAACGAGGCTGTCGGCTGTCTGCGGCCCAGATGTTTCTCCGAGCAGAGGCAGCTGTGCAGCAGCATGAAGGAAAACCTTTTTGCTCGTTTGTTTCTGCTTCTGGACTGATTGTGTGTGAAGCAGCTGACACTAACACGATGAAAGTTTCAGCTGAACTGCAGCTTGTTTTTAAAGTTGGAGCTTCTCGTTACTACGACGGAGCTTTAGGGCCATGCGAAGAAAAATAATAATAATTAAAAGCCATAAGATTACGAAAATAAAGTCGTACGAGACTTTTTTTCCAGCTCTCGTTTTTTTTTATTCACAAGTCAGATCCACAATGCGACCTGTCAATCAATCCAGTAGGCGTGTCAGTAAATGATCAATCTGAAGCTAAATGAGTCGTAATATTATCTGGACACGATAAAAAAAGGTTTACTGCATTTTAATTGTGGTAAAATGAAAAATGTTGAGCATCTTGTTAAATTATACTTTGGTATTGGTTTTACAAATAAGGAGCTAGTTAATCTGTCAGCACATCAGCATCAGATTATTATCAGCATCAGATTATTATCAGCATCAGATTATTTTCAGTATCAGATTATTATCTGAATCAGATTATTATCAGCATCAGATTATTATCAGCATCAGATTATTATCTGAATCAGATTATTACGAGCATCAAATTATTATCAGCATCAGATTATCAGCATCAGATTATTACCAGCATCAGATTATTATCAGCATCAGATTA